AGGGTGATTCTCTCCTCTCCAGACTCCAGGGTGTGGTGGCGCATAAATTCCGCGACCTCCTGTACGGTTGGTGAATCCCCGTGCATGCCCAGCATGGGGCACTTCCCAAACTACTCGTAGAAAATTGTGGGCATCACCTTGCCTCTCGGCAGTCTCCGCGAACCGCTCGAAGCATGTCTTGATGATGCTCTTCTGGATCACTCGCAGGATCTTGTCCTGTTGCAGCATCACACGGGAGATATTCAGCAACATGCCCTGGGAGTCAACTGCGCCCATCACAAACAGAACCCCTCGGCATGAGCTCGTCACAACCGTCCACGATTAGGACGCGTCGCACGTACAGCTTAATGCTCTTGTGCTGTTTCTTGGAGTCGAAAAAGCCAACGGGTACCAAGCGCGGCACGAAGAGCGGCGCGCGGTACTCCAATTGGCCTTTCTCGCTGAAGTACTTCACGGCCAGGTGGTCCTTCCAGTAGATCGACAGGGACTTGTAAACCGAAGCGAACTCTTGGTTGGTCACACCCCCTGACTTGTGCATCCGAACCGGCTTCTATCGCAACTTCCATCCATCAGCGGTGATGGTAATGGCGATGATGATGATGATGATGACGATGAGGGTAAGTGGGAAGGGTGAAAAGAGGAGAAAGCTGATCGCGGTGGACGATGAGGACGAACATCATGAAAATAGTCGTCATGATGGGAACCGGAACGAGGACTGTGGTGACGATGGCGACGGTGATGATGATGATGATGATGATGAGGCAAAAGACGTGAAGGAGTGGTGATGAGAATGATGATGGTGAGTAATGATAATGAGGATGAGGATGGCGAGGAAGAGGAAGAGGAGGAGGAGGAGAAGGAGGACGAGGAGGAAAAGGAGGAGGAGCAAGAAAGAAGAAGCGGATGCCGTATCGTTACATGTGGCTCTCGTGGACCACATTGGAACCGTCTTGGGGCTGTCTCCTGCGCTCCTGTGGGGAATTTTTTTTGGGGGGGGGCGGCGTGGTTATGTTTCTCGTCCTGGCTGCTTCCAGGGCTGCACACGCCGGACACAAGACGTGAAAAAGGCGAATGCCGCGAACGGATCGAGCGAGCACGACACCGCGAAGTGTAGGAAAGCGAGAGCCACGCATGCCCACGCGACCGTTGCCCACATCGCCGTTCGCCCGTTGACGGGGGGCTCAAGCGCTCCCAGAGAATAGCGAACGCGCAGCACATGCATCCCAATGTTTGAAGCAGGGCGGCGCTCGGAATAGACCGGATACCTGCTTCAACGACCGGCGTGCGGGGGGGGTTGTCAGTGGATGAGAATGTGGGTTATACCTGGCCGACCTTGCTTACAACAAAAATGCAAACGCCCCAAGTGGGTTAGGACTGGGGGCGGGGCCCGATCTGGGCTGGGTGGGCCCCACCCACTTCGAGGAGCTACCTAACCCCATGGCCACTTGGGGCATGTGTGGCGCATGAACAATTCACAAGCTAGATAAGGTAAGGTTACCACACCTTGGCATCCACAGATCACTCCCAATATCCTCTTAGCCCTCCCCGCGCCGATCCCAGCATTCAGCATTGAACTGGCATGTCGGATCTGGGCGGGATGTACATCAAACCGGGCCTCACCCGCAAGAGGCGAATCGGCCGCGCCAAGATGCGCAATGATGTCATGCGAGCATCGGGCAGCATCGAATCGCCCCTTGTCCGGGTTGCCTCAAAGGCCAGAAACAGGTCGGGTGTCGTCAAGGGCGCCCTGAGGACATGGGATGGCCCCCAAACCCTGGAGACGCCGAAAAGGCAGAAAGCATGGCGACGAAACATCATTCCAGGCTGGAGATATCACAGAAGTGGGACGCAGTTTTTTCTGTCGGCGGCTAGGCAGGGGTCGTCTGCTCTGGCTGAGCAAACTAACTAAACGGGGGCACCGTTGTAGCGAATTGGCCAGCATGGAGGAGGGGGCGGAGGGACGGAACGGGCGGCCGCAGGGGGAGAGGAGGAAGAGAGGGCCACTCACGAGGGACGGATCACTCCCTGGGTGTGCTGGCGCGGCCAGCCCCGCCGGCTGGGACGAAGTGGGGCATACACACACAAATACACACACACACACACGTCACTATACTTTTGGGGCGGCGTCGTGCCCCTCGTTGCCCCCAGAGACAAGGCATAGGAGGCCACCCACATGGGGTACGAGCAGATGAGGTCGGCGGATCGCGCCGCATCGCCGCCGCATCGCATCGAGCTGTATCGCCGATCCTCCGACTCCGTCAGCTCGGACCTCTAGAGGACCTGCTAGAAAGAACAAGTCGGATGTTGTCAAAGTGTCCTGGGGGCAGGAGATCAACCACAAACTGAAATGTCACTGTTTGAGGCTCTCGTCCTCAAGTCAGGTGCTGTCACAAGTGTCCGCGGCCCAAGGTGTCCCTGAGATTTCTGAGGCCCATTCGGCCTTCGGAGCACCCTCGCGAGGACCAGAAGGCCCCAGGGGCTCCAACATGGTGCCAAAAACTGGGGGGCACGTCGGGCCAGAACCAATTCTAGTGGGTTCGGCGCAGGTGTTGCTAAGGCTGGGGGATGTGCAACCATTACTCATACTAGAACCACGCGAGCGCTGCGCGCGCGCTCTGGTTCTAGCAAAATGTGACGATGGTCTAAGGTGAATGCAGAACAACTGTTATGAATCATGATCAATCAGCAGGTAACATGCTCACTCTGTGTCCCCACGGATGCTGTGCGATAAACCTCAATCAGCAAGCCCTCTCACTCCCTCTCCTTTGCGCCCCCTTTTTGGCGGACGCTATCGGGCCTGGGCACCGAAGAGCTGTTGCGGGCGCGGTGGACGTGCTCCACTCGGCAGGCAACGCGAAAGAAGGAAAGCAGCACACGATAGCAAACAAACCCTATTTTCTGTCAAGCCGGAGGGGGGGAGGGTGGGAAGGGGGGAGGGAGGAGGCCGAGGAGCCGAGGAGGAAAGGGCGTAAAACTGCGAGCGCCATGCCAAGCAGGCTCTCGACACATGGTACCCGCACTCACGAGAAGAGGCGGAGGACTGGTCTCCAGTGGTTCCGTATGTCGTCGCCAAGCGGGCGCCACTGCCAAACGCAGGAGCGCGCAAAGTGGACGAAGAGGGCGTAACGAAGATAGGTGCCGGCACGGTGGACGTGTTCCACTCGGCGCACAGCAACACCATTTCAGAAGCTGCCTTCCCAACTTTGCACGTCCTCTTTGGGACCGTTTTGGGGTCACGTGGGCCTTCGCGGGGTCGTCACTTGGACTCTATTGCAGCCTCTCGTGGCCACCTCAGGCTGTGTTGGGCTCTGATGGGGCCGTCCTGGAGCCTTCTTGAAACACCTCTGGGCCTTCTTGGTATGCTCTTGGGCCGTCTTGGCTTCCTCCGGAGGCTCTCTCTTTGACCTTCCTGGGGCCAGCGACATGTATCATGCGGGTGGCAAGGAAGGCTTCAAGAGTCGAGATCTCTTTGTCGGCCTGGGAGCGGCCTCCGTAATTATCGGCTGGAGGTCAGTTTAAAACCTTCTTATAGATAGTACATATGGTTGTCGACTGCATGATGATAACTTCTTGTTTGGCGTGAACATGGACCTGTAGCCTCGCGAAGGCGATGCGCAAAACTTCATCGCGGATACATGTTTGCGCGCGGGGCTATTCGGAAAAATGCGAGCGGGGATCACGATGGCCTGGGGCCTCTCCAAGACCCCGGAGCGGCCTCGGATCTGGCTGGAATCGACGCGTGCCGGGCACTGGCGGGTACTGGGGGCTACCAGGGCGCACTACTGGGGCGTACTGGGCGGTACTGGGTGGTAATGTGGAGTTCTGGTGGGTACTGGGGGGTTTGGGGGCCCTAGGACTGACGCTTCAGCGACCCACCTGCTCGAACAAACAGTTTTGGCCCGCCCGACCCGCCCGGCAAGATCACCCCGCCCGATCCGCCCATCCCGTTCTGCCGCTTGCTTTCCTGCTCGTAGCCCACCTCCGGATAACCTCTTTCTGTTGTTTCATCCCCCTCCCTCTCCCTTGCCCCTTCCCTTCCCGCAATCCTCACCTCCTCGCTATCTGGTTTGTCCTGTCTCCCTCCTTTTCCTGTTCCTGGGGTTGCGCCAGCTACACGTCGCAGGTAAGGAAGGTATACCTCCAGGGAGCACGATCGAAGACGGGGAGGGCGGGTATCGAGGGTTTGGGATATACATGCGGATGGACGCGCGAGCAGAGAAGAGCGAAACATCCCACATTGCTTGTTGGTGCTGTTCTGCTCCTTTTCTCCTCGCTTCCCTCCTTTCCATTATTCGCGTTCGTCCTGCTTGAAGGGCTGCGTCGATTACACGTGGCCGGGAAGGAGCATACACTCCCAAAGGGGGTACGACAAAAGGCGAATCATGCAAGTATCGAGGGCATGGGATATACGTGGGTGACACGCGAACACATGAGAGCAACACATCCATATACATACATACATGCATACATACATACATACATACATACATACATGCATGCATACATACATACATACATATATACCTACCCACCTACCTACCTACCTACCTACCTACCTATCTACATACATACATACATACATACATACATACATACATACATACATACACACATACATACATACACACACACATACATACATACATACATGCATACATGCATGCATGCATGCACACCTACATACATACATACATACCTACCTACATACCTACATACATGCATGCACGCATGCATGCACACACATATATATATATACATACATACATACACACATACAAACAAACAAACAAATATACACACTGTGTATTACTGTTGGTGTTGTTAGTTTCTTTCGTGTTCTTGCATGACGATAAAACAAAAATCTACATAACTAATAACTTTTAGACCCGAACCGCTTAAGGAGCGAAGGTGGTGAGCGGGTTCCCAAACTCCAGCCGGGCATCATAAAACAACGCTGATCATCTCACAACGGCTCCGCGAGTCACATACTACCACCCCGCTCATCGATGCCGCCATCGAGGAAGTTCGGTCGGATACATGGATGTGCTGCGGAATTGCGCCCAAGCACCTAATGTGCTGATGGCCTCCACAGCAGCGTCGCTCTCGCCAAACAAGTGTCTGCCGCGAGGCTCCGCCCCAGCAAAAAGGCAACCCGCTGCCCTAATCACAGACCAAGGGGCTGGATAATGCTTGTGGTCTGCATGGCAACGACGCTCGCCGATATGTCCACTGCAGGGCCCAGGACCAGGTGTTGCGCGAGCTTGCCGTACCTGGGAGTACTAGGGGATACTGGGGGGCTCTGGGGGGCCACGGGGGGCACTGGCCTCCTCCTCCTCCTCCTCCTCCTCCTCCTCCTCGTTCCTGCCTCCGTTCTCCGTCATCATGCAATTACCGTAATGGTGCTGGCCGTGGTCCTGGTGCCGTATGGCACTGCGCGGTCCCAACACCGTACTGCTGCCGGTGTCGCGGAGTCCCGCTACCGTACTGGCAACGCGTGTACCTGCGACACGAACCAAGCACAACGAGCCGCACCTGTACCGCATGCTCCTGATACCGCAAAGTATCGTGCCGTACCGTGACCAAGGCGATTTTGGCAGATTCGGGCCCTGCGGGAGCTCTCTTGGAGGCAATTTGGAATGTCCTGAAAGCTTCTTGGGCAGTCCAGAGGCCGTCTTGGGCCGTCTTGGGGCCATCTCGGGCCGACTTCGAGACATCTTGGGCCGCCTTGGAATATTCTTGGACCTCCTTGTCCGCCCTGGTGGCCTGGGAACGCAGATCCATGGACGCGGTGCGCGCAGGCCACTGAGATGAGGACAGGTGGGGGTCCCCCTAGAACACTACAGAAGCACTGTCAAACAAGACGTGGTATTCTAGCACGCCTCATGGTGCCAATGGACTCGGTGGCCGACCATCACCATCATCGTCATGTCTATCAGAACCACCAGCATCATCATAACCATCCGCACCACCATCACCACCCTCACCACCATCACCATCACCATCACCACCACCACAACCATCACCATCACCACCATCAGCAGCATCATCTTCATCAGCAACAGCATCAGCAGCAGCATAACCACCATGAAATCATCATCGGCATCATCATCATCACCAACATGCGCATCATCATCAACAGCATCAACAACATCCGCCGCATCATCAGCAATAGTACCATCAATATCATCATCGTCGTCATCATCATCATAATCACCATAATCACCCTAACCAACATCAGCCTCAACATAATCCTCCTCCGATAAGCGCTAGCTGGCGCCCGCCTCATCCTCGCGCCCCCCTGCCCCCTCACCATCCCTTCGCTTTGGCCCCGCCCCCCCCGTGCCACGCTGACTGCCCCCAGACCTCATAGCGTCCCTCATCCACACTGTCGCCCCCCATATGCCAATTCACGTCGTTCCTCGTCGTTTTCATCCACCAGATGAATCCCCCCATCGTCCACGCTCCTGCCCTCCTCTCATCCTTTGCGCCTTACGGCACATCATCCCCCGTCCTTCTGCCCCCCCCCGCCCCCCTCGTCCTCGTGATGTTGGCGCCGGTGATGCAGCTCCTCCTGAGCCCATTTCCCCATCCTTCGTCCTGCCCCTTACATCCACGGCTCCGTCGCCACCCCTCCTATCGAACCCCTTCCTTTCCATGGCCCACCATCCCCGCCCCCCCGTGCCCCTGCGGTCCCAAACCACGGCCCCCTCCTGGACCGGCGGGGAGATCCGCGGACCCCCCCGCTCCAGACCGCTCCAGCGAGCCTGGACCAGCCGAAAAAGAAACATGAAAATTCCCGCCTAGTCAACGCCACCCGAGGGGCACACTCCAAATACACTGATGGGAACAATGTCTGCGCGCACAGATCACACCGCGATCTGCGCAGAGAGTACGCCAGTTGCGCGCGCAGATCACACCTTGATCTGCGCATGTCGAAAAGGCAAACGCTCGCCGCCTCGACGGCGCCCCAACTTCGCCAACCCAGAACCGAAATCGACGTGCCCAGCTAGGGGGCACGATTCCAATTCGCGCCACCCTGGCCCACAGCGCCCCCGAGGGAGCTGCAATGCACGCTTCCCTGGCCCAGGGCGGCCACGGTGAAATGCGGCACCAAATCGGCCCCGAACGGCCCGAAGACGCCCTGAAAAGGGCACCGAAAGACCCCGAAACAGGCCGCGCAACAGTCCGAGAAGACGAGATGCGTCACATGTCATGGACCACTTAACAGTGACAGCTCCATGCGTCGCCATGCAGACGGCTGCGCTGGCGCGGTGGCGGTGCGGACCTTGTCGCAATCACCTATACGTGTACATGTTAGCGATGCGACTGTGCTTGGCGGCCGCGCCGCCCGCGTCTGGATTGCGCCCCGAACGCTTGCATTGGCAGTCCCCTCTGTTTGGTTGCGCCGCTGCGCTCGGACATCGAAAGGGCGGCACGAAGCTGGCGCGGGCACGCGGCACAAGGGACTTCACTCCCCTTCTTCGAACGAGGAGGGAGGGCGAGGTGAGGCGACAGACTGCGCGCGGGGAGGCAAAGAGGAACGGGGAATAATGATGGGGGGGAGAGGGGCGCTCTCCCGCCCGAGCCGCGGACTCCATCGGCGCCATCCAGGGGGGGGGGGGGGCGAACGAGGGGGGCGGAGCATGGGCGACGCCGACGACGGGGAGCAAACTGTCTCGGTCCGCATATAGCCAAATGCTTGCGATTGGGGTGCGCGCGCTTTCTTCAAGGCGCTTCGTGCCTGGCCCATGCTGAAGTCACTAGTTCCTGCAAGCTGTATTGTGTAAACACTCTGTCCTCTGCGCCCCATCCCACGCGACTGCCCCAGACCAGAGAGGCAATGAAATCCCAGCCCGAGCCTCGACTGCCACGCATTGGGCTGCCTGCGCTCGGCAGGAGCCCACGTCGCATTGCGCGCGGGGGGTCCTTCACCACTGAACAAGCCTCTTCGCATCGCATCTCGCCCCCAGGCGATAAAGGGGCGCCAGCCCCCTCGCTGGCAAGGGCAGAAGGTTTCGCATCGCGCCAGCCTCAGGCGGCGCGTCGCCCATCGGGAAGCTTCTCAAACTTCCAGACGCAACAGGGCATATTCCTGGCACTTGCGGAGGCCCCCAGGCCAATCTCGAACGTCGTCGTCTTGGTCGGACCGCCGCGGCAGAGGCGGCAAGCGACCCTCGCTCGCCGCTGACCCAGCGTCCAGGCGGCCACCTCGCTGCCGACGGCCGCGTTGTCCACCGAGGTCAAGCGACCGGGGCGACCCGCTTCGGCGGGCCCCCAGGCCCGGCCGCTCTCCTGGCCGCTTCCCGCCCGCGCATCCTGCGGGCCCTGCCCCCCGCGCCGCCGGGGGCGATCCGCCCGCCGCCCCCTGGGGGCTCGGCCGGTCTGCCAGCGCTCGCACCTCCGCGGCCTCGATGCCCGTCGCGAGCCCCTCGCCCTCAACCGACGAGCCCAGCCCGCCGCGCCGGGCGGCGTCAGCTCAAGCCTCTTCGCCGCGCGCGAGCGGCCATCGCGAGCGGTTTTCTGCGGCGCCCTGACCCCGCAGAAAATGCATTTCAAGGCGCGGGCCGGGCCGGCATGCCGGGCGCCATCCGATCAACGCTCTCCGCGAGCGTGCGCAATTCTCGGTGGCGCCCCTCTCCGGTGTCTCGCGCGGAATGAACTGGCCGCAACGCGCGCGGCAGGATCCTCGCGGCCGCGGGATTGAAATGAGCGGACGCCAATCCCGCGTCGCACTTGTCCAAGAACCGCGCCACGCTCTCCACATCCTTTTTCGAAGTCCACCCGCTTGTCAGCGGCCCCCGCGGCATCGGGGCGCTTCCTCTTCGTCCTCACCCATGGCCTCGTCTATGGCCGCCTGGATAACGTCGGCCGGCACCGCGAGCTCGTCGTCGACCTGGAGCACCACCAAGCGCCTTTCGGCTGCCAGCGAAGCCGATAGCCGCTGGGGGGGGCGCGAGGGCGCAGGATACGGCAGCCTGCGCGCGGTGCAACATACCTGCACCTCGAGACCAGCCCTGCGCAAACAAGCAGAAGAAACTTCTCTCGCTTGGCGATCCTGAAATTCAATCACCACGGGAGGTACTCCAGATGTCGTAATAAAAGGGAGGGGGTCTGGACCCTCCAAGACAAGCCATTTCAGACCTCCCCCGTGGGAAAACCCTCCAAAACATCGTCCCCAGACCCCCCCAGGCCCTCCAAGATAGCCTGGAAGAGACCCCCCCAAATGAGACCCCCCTCCCTTTATTACGGAATCTGGAGTACGGGTCGTCAGCTCCCAAATGCTCCACCTCAACCTCGTTGATTGCCCCACCGGGGCTGTCTGTCATCGTCCACCCCGCGACGCCGCGAGCCGAACCGCCAGCCGATGCATCTTGATGCACGGCTGGATGCCAAGAGCAAGTGCTCGGCTCCATCGCGCCCGAAAAGTCCCCCGCCATCGCGGACTCTCGAGGCGGGCGGACAAGCCCTGACAGAAACGAGAAGTAGATCGACTCCGCGATGCCAAGGGCTCTCGCGCCCTCGACCCCAGGCCTGACGTGGAGCGCGAGCGCTTCAGCCGTACACCGTCGGGTCCAGGCGGCGACGCGTTGCACAGGAGGCGCAAACATACCCCCAACCCCAAGGGCGTTATGACACAAAGCAAAGGTAACATCGATGGTGAGACCGGTGGTGAGATCAATTGAATGAAGCGATGACCTCGTCGCACCCACAACCTCCTTATCACCCGAAGGGTGGTTCGGCCCTCAGACATCTCGCGCTCGGTGGCCTGATGCTCACCGCGAAATAGTGTGCGTGGCACTCAAACAACCCAGCGACATGCAGGGGGCATGACACTCCATAACGCCAGCTTCGCGGCCCCGTATGCCGCTGCAAATGTTGCCGAGACAAACGAATGTGTTTACTGCCGTGTGTAGTACTGGTCCCCGTAATATCATTACGGGGTTCCACCGCGGATGCCCGTCGGCGTTCCGCAACAGTCTGCGAGCTCACAATCTCTGCGTCGCTGTCGGTCCTTCCATCGCCTCACCTGGCCGCTGCTTGGTTTGCTTTCGGGGGCGAGCAAGACTCGCTCTGGCCGCTGGAGGATCGACCACAATAATTCCCCTCAACGCAAAGTTTGCGCCTGATCTGAAAAGAATGCACCCTCGCTTTTTCCACTTATGATTTCCTTATCTCTCCTGAAAAATGTCCAGGGAGAAGTACGTCACAGAAGTCGTTGCTGTCGTCCTCGTCGTCGTTGTTGTGACGCCCGTCGTCCTCGCTCTCACACCCGAAGGCTCGCAAACACAGTCCTTCAGCGAGACATGCCAGGAATATGAGATGCACATCTGGAGATCTACGCGTCGAGTGTTTGTTTATGTACGTGGTCAGTTTCAGCAGACGTCATGGTTCCAAAAAACTGAAAAGCCAAAAGCGATATTTGTGAGGTTTGTTGCGAGATTCGACCTTCAATCTCCGAGAGTCGGAGTGGCCCAGGTGTTTCAAAAGGATTTCGCAAAAACACCTGAGAAGGATCAGAAGGCTGACGAGGAGGACGGCAAGGTCGACGAGCCTGCAGCAGAGGAGACACGGCTGCGGCAGCCTGAACAAACTGTCAAAACAGCTGGCCACAGCGCGCCAGGTAGGAGCCGGCTCCTTGATCTGCACCGTGGCTTTTATCCGCCACCGTGCCCCCTGGCACATTGAGGCGCGGTAGCATGCCAAGTTCGGGGCGCGCAAACATCAATCCATGGATCGGGGGAGGTCCTCTTCCCAAAATACGGCCGGTGCCGCCTCGCTCGGCGGCGGAAACCCGCGACTTCCCATGGAAACGGGACCCGTCATTAATCCACGCCCCTTTGATTCTTGTTTGCGATCGCCTGGTAGGTAGGGTTTGCCTGATAGGGTTTTTGCGTAATCTCCTAAGGCGCTCCCTCTCTCCCCGTCACACCTCGTCGCGCGCGCCGGCCATGCTTCGGGGGAATCTCTTGGCGGCCATGGCGCCTCCACGGGGCTCTCCAAGGCCATGCCGGCCCACGAGGCCCCTAGGACGGTCCAGGGTCCAAGAGGGCCCCGAGTCGCCGGACAGTCGCTCGAAGACGCCCAATATGGCCTCAATGTGGCGCAAGAGGCTTCCAAGGCGCACCAAGAGGCCTCCAAGAGGCCTCACAAGAGGGCCCCGAACGGCACAGATCAGTGATTTGTCTTGTCTTTCGTTAAACAGATTTTGGCGTTCTCGCCTTTTCGGCTCTCTGACGGTCCAAGACGGCCCAAGAGGCCCCCAAGACCACCTCAACCCAAACTGGCCCAAGAGGCCTCCAAGAGCGCTCCAGGACGTCTCAAGAGGCGCCCAAGACAGCCCAAGCTGGCCCCAAAACGGCCCTAAAGAGGCCCCAGACCCCAGAAGAACACGAAAATCCAAGCCTTTTGCCCAATGGGACCCCAGGAGGCCCCAAGAGGCGCCCAAGAGGCCCCCCAGAGGGCCTCAAAACTGTCTCTGAGAGGCCTCCGAGAGGCCTCACACGAGACTCCAACGAACATCAACTAGGCTTCTGACCCACGATCCCAAGCACGGTGGCGGGACTTGCCGTAGGCAGCTGGATCTTCAAAAAGAAATTAAAATCTGGTGGATGGGGGGTGCTAAGGCTCCGCATGCACGCCGGCTAAAACGATCTGTCGGAGTCGGAGCAGGGCCGCTGTCCTATACTCGAACTGCTGGGCGGCCGCGCCAAGCGAGGGCGCGAGGCGGGGCGAAGCGGAAGATGGCGTTGCCTAACACCTCGTAGAGAGTCAAGACAGGGATCCGGCACTCTTCGTGATTCGCTGCGCGATGGTGCAGACTTCCTTGGCAACGACAAGCCCAGCCAAACCTCCGGCAAACCCCCACATAACCTGGCCGATCCTCCCGGCCGAGCCCCTCTGGCAACTGGCCGGGGCGATTCCTTCCATGTGATATGACATGCTTCTTGAGTTTTGAATGGTTTCGTCGCCGTCGCCGTCGCCGTCACCGTCGCCGTCGTCGTCATCGTCGCACTCCTCCTCCTCCTCCTCCTCCTCCTCCTCCCCCTCCTCCTCTTCCCCTTCAGGGTCGGTGGCACCCGCTGTAAGCCATCGGCAAAACGTAATTAAACGACTCGTCATAGAGAAGCGTGGCGTCGCAATGAAGAACATCGCGGGCGGCTGGTTGTTCGTAGCTCTCGGCCTCTGGATCCCACCTCTCCCGGCTCCTGGCCCCTGGACCGTCCAAACAGTTTTTACGTCGGCGGCCTGGCAGAGTGACTGCGCTGGCAGAAGAGCACTGGTGGGGCATACGAGTGCGAATGAAGCCGCACTGCACGGGGGAGCGAGGAGGCACGCCTGGCGCGGGCAGGAGGGCGACGGAAGCTGGGCCCGCTCAGAGCGGGGCCGGGCGGCGGCGGGGCAGCCCCTGGCCCGTCCAAGCGACAACGCCCCGGGATACAGAGCGGGCTCCCCGGGAGCAGCGGTCGAGCTCCCCCAGGGCCACAGACTCGGAGGCTGCCCAAATATGCCTCGGGCCGCGGGCGCCCCCAGCTACGGCAGGCTCGCGTCGTGTCGACCTCGGCGCTGGCTCCCGACACCGCGGGGATCGCTCGAGCTTGAACGATCGGCCCCTCAAAACGGCCAGATCGCTCAAGGATGGGACGAGGAGGAGGAGGAGGAGGAGGAGGAGGAGGAGGAGGAGGAGGAGCAGGAGGAGGAGGAGGAGGAGGAGGAGGAGGAGGAGGGGGGGGGTGCAGGGCTGCCTGGCGCCCCCGCGGCTGCAGGGCCGCCCGATGGCCCTCGGCGGGCGGCGCTCAACCTCAAACGCCCGCGCGGGGGCCGCCGCGGGTCGACACGGCGCGAGGCTGCCGCCTCCGCGCCACTCCGGAGCCCCCTTTGGCCCTCCGTGCCGCGCGAGGGAGGCTGCTCCAGGCGACGCGGGCGGGGGCCTCCCTGGAGATCCTGGGGACACCCCTCGGGGGGCGCGCGAACACGGATCAGCGATCCATGGGCCGGGCGCGCGGTCGCCAGATCCATGGATCGGGGGAGGTGCCCTGCCCAAAAGAGTGCGGCTGGTGCCCGCCCCGCTCGGCGGCGGAAGTCCGAGATTTCCCATGGAAACGGGTCCCGTCGCTAATCCACGCCCCCTTGATTCATGTTTGCGATCGCCTGAACCTTGAGCCATGGGCACCTCTGGCAACATCCTGAAGAAGGCGAGGGGGATCTGCTTTAGAGGAAGGTGAATCTACATCGGCATGACCGCGGACGTCCAGCGCCGACCACAGAAAACTGCGCGGACATCCGAAAACCTACGTGTATGCAAGTGTTCTTCTTGGGGTCACGCTGGGGCAGGACAACCTCTGGCAGCCCCCGACAGCTGGGACCACTTTCCTGGCCCTCATCTGCTCCACCAGCGATAGCGCCAGCTCCCACTTGCTGCAACTCTCGCACGCTACGATGGCGGAGCCATAGGTGGTCACGTCTGGCTGCACCCGTGCGCCGCGCATCTGGTCCAGCACCTCCAACGTGATCTCCCACTTCTCCCCCTTGGCGCACGCGTTGAGCGCCGCGTTATAGGCGATGACGTCCAACTTCACCCCGCTGCGGTTCATCTTTTCGAAGATCTCCAGGGCCGACTGCCACCGCTTGCTCTTCGCGAACGCGCTGATGGCAGCGCTGCAGGTGACCAGGTTCGGCTGCAGGCCGTCCTCCTGCATCTGCCGCAGAAATTCTAGCGTGTAGCAGCAGCTGCTGTCGCCCTTGTCGCAGGCGCTGATCGCGGAGCTGTAGGCGATGGAGTCAGGGGAGATGGCGTCGGCGCGCATCTGACAGAACAGGTCCAGCGCTATCGTCCAGCACCCGACCTTCTCGCTGGCCTGGATGGCGGCCGTGTACGTGTGCCTGTCGGGGTGGATGCCCTGCTGCCGCATCTCGCGCACGAAAGACAGGACGCTGTCCAACTGCTTGCTCTTACCTTTGGACGCCCGGAATGGGTACGGAAAAAATGGGTACGATGCCCAACAACAACTGTTGTCCCAAACCGACAGCGGCCGCTGTTGGGCAGGCGGCCATCTGTCTCAAATGGACACAGGCCGCGGCGGCGCTGACAGCGAGTCCTGTTCAGATTGAAAAGGAGTTGCTGTAGGGCATTGTACCCGTTCTTTCCGTACCCATTTCGCTCGTCCCGATTACCGTACGCAGACACCACCGCGTTGCACGTGATCACGTCTGGCCGGAGGTTCTCCCGCTGCATCCGGCGGAACAGGTCCACGGCGAGGGCGCACTGCTGGCTCCTGCCGGCCGCGCTGATGGCCGTGCCGTAGGTGACCTGGTCAGGACGGATGCGCCGCCAGGACATGTCGCGCATGAGCAGGGGGACGAACAATGACATAAGCATTGAAACTCGGAGGTCCGCGCGGATTTCTCAAATCGGCGCTAGACCCCCCTGGCGGCGCCTCCAGCGCCGTTCCTGGCGCGCTCCGCGCGCCAGAAAAGGGGGTTCAGCGAGGATCCGAGAAATCCGCGCGGATTTCTCCGAGCATGTATGTTTGTGTCATCGCTCGTCCCCCTAATGAGCTCGTTCATCGTCTGCCACTGCCCGCCCTCGCCGCAGGCGCCCAGGGCGATA